CTGCCTTTGCACCTCGTGTGGAGATGGCGCCGCCGCCCCTTGCTGGCGATCATCTAGGGCGGGGAAGCCCTTGCATTCCAGGTCGCGGTTCTGTCTTGATGAAATGTAGCTGCCGTGACTGGCGCCGTTGCACCAGACGGAAGCCACGAGCGCCATCTGCTGCGCGGACAGACCTCGAACCAGGTTTCCAAATACTACACGCATGCTGTACCTCAACATTTGCGTCTTCAACAACCGAGATTACCAATCGAGCAGTCTACACGACAACCCCATGCTAGTGTTTGCCCGGCGCTCCATATTCAAAGTTACGTTGAGGCTCTTTGGATTTGGAAGATGACGAGACCTCGTCCGCGGCCTCCGAGACCGGTATCAATGCTTCCGATAATTGCAACACTCGACATCCTGTACCCGTTAATCATGGTGGCCTACTACGTCGCCTAGCTATCATCATGCTCACCGCTCAATCGGCAATTGACGTGCAACCGGTCTGATTTGGTCTGAACAACCTCATCGGAAGAAAGAGATTGGAGCCCAGTAGCATGACGATAACTAAACAAGTGGGCGGGTGGCATTCGTAGCACCTGTACCAGGCTCGCCTCTCGCTATAGATACAGATCCGTGTCCGGAATCACGGAACTTCCATGCCCATACCAACGAATACTGTACCTGCAATGAATATTTTGACTGTCCGTAGTGGACGGTAAGTCATGCAAAAGACTTGATTCAGAAAGAGGGGTCTGCACAAAACAGTTCCACAACACATGGTGGCGTGCATGCGTCTCATGCCCCACTCTTCTTTCCGGTATACCAGCATCTTGCCCAGTGAACTGATGTTTCAACTTCAACAATCACTGCAGGTTCATTTACCCGGTATCTGGGTTTCCTTCAACAGCAGTGCGCACTTGTACTTGCAAGCCGAAGTGTCTTCAGGCAAAATGAGCAACATGTGCACTGCTGGCAGTCATCGACTAAGATCGTGCTTGTTGAACCCACGCGCGTCCGGCTTCAGATGTGGAAAGATCTATCAATCCAATTGTCACTCTCTTAGCGTTGTTATGTTGTATGGTAAATTTTTGTTCCAGGGAATGACGTTGCCATAGGTTGTGTAAGGGATCCAAGGATAATACTTCCCCATTCTCCATAGCTTTAGATCGTTGCAGTAGCCTAGATTTGCCCTAACAAGATGAAACGATAGGCAGCAGACACTTCAAGTCAAAGCTGTCAGCTATGCGGAAGCTGGACGCCTTGAAGCCAGAAACGGTCGATCCGGAGAGTGTCAGACGCTCTTCTAGATGGCGCACTTGTCTCTCAATAGCATAGTGAAGGCTATCACGATGCAAGTGCGTTGTTTTACCTGGCACCATCTCGCTGTGTACTGGTTTACTGCACGCTGCTATGGCTGTCATAATCTCAATACACTTTGGGGATTTCAGCGAATCGGCTTCGCTCCGCTGATGCTTAGTGTGCGTCGCCTTTATCTGTCCGAGGCTCAAAAGCATGATGCTAACCAGAACAGCTACAGTTTGGGGGCGTCATCAAGATCCCACATTCCTGGCCCACTAGCTGAAGATACTATCGGAGACCCACGGACCTGGATCAGAGATCTCTTTGTAGATCGAAGCCCTACAATCTCGCTCCAACGTGCACTAGATACATCGCTAGAACTAACATCATCTTCCGCACGCGACAAGCGAACGCAGCCCTCAGCGGAATTGTCGCCGTGGAGTCTATCGGTCATGTTTGAACAATTTTAAAGGCACCGTCGTTGCTTGCATGGAAGGCTATCGTTAATGGCAGCTTAGAGCTTCGCACTTGTTTCGCATTCGCGCTGGTATGCAAATTCGCAAACATGGTAATCTAGGTAAAGTCGGCTGTAAATTTGTCACTTCCCCATGTTGAGCGGACAATTTCCCACTGTCTCTTACGCGCTAAGCGCACGTTCGCTTTCAGTCGAATGAGGTCTCTGTTGTGACCTCGGCAGCTGACGGTTGCCAATTAGGACTGGTTCCTGCATGTGACTAAGCTGCGCGAGCCGCAGATCGTCGGCTCAGCCACCTTCGACCCTTCTTTCCCAGCTGAGATCGGCTTCACCTGCCGTCCGCACACATCTGCTGGCACTCACGCTGCAAAATCAATATTTCGGACGGCCAGGGTAGGCGATGCGACCGCTACGACTTGCCCTGACTGCAGAACAGCATGACGCAGTCGTGCAGTACCTCCATGAATCGACGGGTTCGCACTCACTCCCACGTCACTATCCAACATCACTCTTCAACACCACAAAGTGACATCTTGGCAGCTCTCGTCAAGATGGATCATCTACTTCCCGTCAACTAATGCTGCCAAGCGTAGTCGGCTCGGAGAACATCGCTCGTGGTCATATACGCGGATCAGCATGCGAAAGAGAACCCGGGACAATCAAGATCTCTTGGCACGGGAACAAGAGTCTAACGCCGATCCGGCCTGCGGTTACCATCAGCCGCAGTCGGTGCTGATCCTGATCGTCTGTTTCCTGGGAGAGCGCCCCACAGAAGTCGTTGACAACTCGGTAGACCGTAGACACAGCCACAATCCCACCAGGCATCCCTTCTGCAGTTCCATCGCGTACCCGAAGATTAAGCACTGAGCAGAATTTTCGCTACGAGTATTGCGGACCTGTTTTACGCGAGAAAAGTACAGCACGCGGCGTAGACTAACGACGATGGCCTACTGCATTTGGACCTGCGTGACAGCGCACCTGCATCCATCATCTGGGACTCTGTCCCCACCGTCACCGGTCGCTGAGCTCTACGCTTGTCATCCTCTAACCACAAGCTCCAGGGGTGCACGAGATATCACCACTATGTCTTGTTGGTGCATGATGGCTGCAGATTGAGTGTAAGTCGTGCGCATGGTACCGTCGTCTCTCTATTCCAGACCTGGCCAGCCTCGAAGCACTGGCTCGGGATGTAAGGATGATCGGTGCCGTCTCCGTTTCGCAACCAAATTACCTGCAGTGGCTTCAACGCTAACACGTGGCTCTTTCGGAACACCTTCGCGGAATGATGTGATAGCGGGAAATGGTGTCGTTAGCACAGGGTTCCGACAGGCTCCGTTTCGGGGCATTTACTCACACCTTGGTACGTCAGATGTGTCGAAACGGATCACTAGGTGCTCTAACGCCAACCTTAATTCCAGCCAGGCCTGGCAGGACCTACCTCTCCCGGTCACAAGGTAGACCCCCGCTACACTTCAAACATCTCGAACAACGACAATCGTTGTAAATGAGGAACCTTACTATCGACTCTCCTTTACTGTGCAGGTTTCGACAGCGTATCCTAGATTTCTAGGGAGAGAGAGCGTCTGCAACCACAAATGACGAACTGCAACCACGATCCTGTGAGGAATGACGTCAGACATCCATACGAGTATACGAGATCGAAACCATGCTCTTCATCGAGGGGAGATCTCAGCGCAACGTCCCCCGCCGTCACTGTCAACGGGTCTCGGAAACCTCGCCTATCGCGGTACATCAGAACTGAAAATTCGCAATGTAACTGTGTATCCTGTTGCACGCCGCAAAAGCGTAAACACCGGGCTGAGCAGAAACGCTCATTGCTCCGGCGCACCTCATTCGTGCGCCTCGCTCAAAAAGAACCCACCACCAATCCACATCGCCACCCCCGGCCGACAGCGTACTGACAGCATGCAATGGCGGAGTTGCGCGATACATCACAAGGTTTTAGGCGTGACATCTGTCGCTCTTTTTTGCTTCTCCCGTACCGTTGGTTGTGCAGTGCAGATCAAGAGTTGCTTCTCTGTCTTTCTGGGCACGCGAGTCCGGCCAAGCCTTGCGGAGATGTCTCCGCACAACGCCTCGGTACAAAGAAAGGGAGAGCTGTTAGGTAAAGGCGTTCAGCTGCGTATAGGTGCTGTACTCCTAATTAAGGCGTATGCGTTCAGGCGAGCATCGCCGGTTGAGGGTGTGGTGCTCTACTTTCAAGTCCAGAGCCACCTTTCTTGCTTCCTTTTTCGATCTCTAGGTGGTGATCTCTTCGACTGCATCTCCGGCGTCGTTTGAAGAGGGGGCTGTGTGCATGATCCAAACTCCACGAGTTTGGAATGCCACTATTCGCAACTATGCATGACAGCATTAGAACAACACTTGACGTCGTTTGATGAGTAAACGCTTCAGGCGGGTACAGTGCCCGCACGTGGTCGACCGACACCACGGGGTAGTGCGACTTACATATTAGCGTGATTGATTTGTTTCAGAAATGTGATATCGATTCTTTATTAAGTGTACATCCGGAGCGGAAAGGTATTACTTCACCCCGGGCCTTTTCTCGCGGCCCAAGTCTCGATGCACTAGTTTAGCCGTAGCTCTAGGTGGCGTCAAGTTCGTCTTCTAATCATTTATGAAGAGACTCTGAATTCAGGAACCAATACTGGTTGTAAAGGCGATCGTGAGGATAACTCTAGCTACAAGCCGAGGCTTGTATTGTGTGACTTGTGCGTATATTCTACACTGTTGATCTTGAAAGAGAGCAAGCTAGCCTCCGCAATAGCATCGCTTGGCCTACGTGCAGCTTCTCGGCCTTGGATCGATGCATGATTATGAATGTATGTGTAATGATGATATGAGAATGGCTACAGATCTTGACAGATGATTTCCCAAATACTAATGAAGTCCGTTGTTGACATGCGTCAGACATGGAGCAGCATATGTAAATGCATGCTAGTCCCATCGTTGGAACACCTATGTACACATTATTGTTGGATGTATTGTGCCGGATACATCTGCCCAGGCATGCAGTATACGCATCCGTCTATCAGCCTAAACAGAACACGAGAGAGCATAACGCGATTTCTTAAGATACGAGAAAGGACCGAAGAGTCGACGTTGACTTTAACCGTTATCTGTACAGTATCAATACATCCTTGTATCCTCCAGCCTTTCCTATCAAGAAGCCCACGTGCTCAACCCCCGTGTTCGTCGTCCCCTACCCGCGAATTCATTATCATTCTGTGCGTTCACAGATAGCTCGGAGGAGCTCGATCCACTGTCGCACGTCAGGAAAGGTCATTGAATCCATGGGAGACTCAGTCAGTACCACTCCTTCGCGAAGCCAATTACCCCTTCTCAAATCTCTGGGCAGCTCCGCGCCCGCGAACAGCTTCGCGGCCTGTTCCAATGCGGCCCTGCCCTCAGGCTGCGAACGTATCCACGGTCTCGGCCTCAGACAAATCAAGCTAGTCGCTACCGGTAGCGAAAGATGATCGTAAAGATCAGCGATCTTTCGTATCTGCTTGATCTCGTCAGATTCCTCAATGTTGTCTACTGGAAACGGAATTGGGGGTTTGTTGAACATCTGTTTGCGTAAGTCAATGCCGAAGTCGAGTTCGTCCCCCTCCACTACCTCTAGCTCGGGAAAAACATTCGCTAGACCAGCTGACATCAAGGCTTTGTACGATACTGCCTTGTATCCAATGCCTCTGATGGGGCCATGTGCCATGTACTCATGAAGCCCACCCTCGTAATATAGGTGCGGAATGTGCCACACGAGGACCTCTCCATCCAGCTGCTGCGTATCCATGACAGCGACGTGGGGGTCGTGCTTTGCGTCTATGGACCTAGCATAGTAGAGCGCTAGATGAAGGGACCCAGTCCATGAGCTGAACTCGGAGCTGAGCCAAGGCCTTTTATCGTTGCTGTAATGCGTTGCCACCATTCTGTAAAGCTCACTTTCTGGCTTCTCATAGAAGGCCCTCTCTGGAGCCTCCTTCATGAAGCCGTGCGGAATGATCTCCTTAACATTGTTAGTTGCGTATTCTGGTCCTCCACCGCTTTTGCTGCTCCAAGTACGAAATAGGAATTGAGGGGTATGGTTCTTGCGGAGATCTGTGAGAGTTAGCCAAGAGCGTGATGCGAGAGCAGGGTGGAGTACCTTCGAAATATGCCTTGCGGTCACCCGTAATTGGCTCTATGTTGCTTGCGTCCAGCATGATCACCTAGGTATAGTCAGTGTCGATGTCGTGGTTAAGGTAGAAAGCTCTTTGAGGATAGGTATTGGATGATAGAAGATTGAGGAATTGTTGGATACGGTTATAAGTGTGAGAGCAGTTTTTCTAGATAATTACGATTTTGATCGCTCTTATTGTCCTTGCGACACAATAGCAAAAGACGGGAGGTTTCGATTTTCAAGTAAGTGAGGTGAAGGCGACAGCCCATCCTCCAGTCACCAAGAGTTATCCGCCTAAGTACTAGGCAACGACTCTCTTTGCGACAGCAACTTCGACACAGACTCCGGCGGCATTGAAAGATGTTAGGGGTTCTTGTACTAATTGGTAGTGTTAAGCAGCTTAGCTCACGCTGAAAACATTGTCATTCGTTGTCTATAATACTATCTCATGTATTGAACAACAAAGCCTCCAGTGGCCGCAAGAAACACTACCTATGCTCTGAATATACATCCCCTAGTCTCCAGCAGCGCAAGTAGTATATCCAGAAGGTCGTCTCACTCTTTGCAGCAAGCCTCAAGACAGACTAAACGTACGTTCTCGAAGTGCACGGATATGCCTGCCTCCAGCAGCCGACCAAAAATCTCCACTCCAGCCTCTTTGTAGTCCTTTACTCGCTGCTTCGGGTCGTTGTCGAAGTCGAGAGATATTCTTTTCAAGCTGCGCAGCTTGCTGCGGTCATCCAGAACTCCGGAGATCCACTCTATCACAGCGGTAGTCGGATCAGCTACATCAAGGTACTCTACATTCGGCGGCAGCGCCTCGAACGGATGGAGAGGGGAACATTCGTAGGGGGTTGAGTTGATGAGAACACTTTGCGGAATGGATAGGCGCTTTATTAAAGTGAAACGTTGCAACGATCGTGATGGTCGGAGGTAGTCGATTTGTTTAGAATCTCCGGTGTCAGAGCACTTTAGCTCCAGCTCTTCCAGAAGATGTGAGGCAGGGATCAGCGGATCGATAATGATGGAAGACGTAAATTCTTGCTTAGGGTAGCATATGCGTTCTTCTGTCGGGATGCCGGGATCATAAGAGCTATAATAAGCCCGAATCCCATCATACATGTTGCCATCTTTTTTTCTCCAATTGGTAAAACACAAGCGCAAAGACCTCAGGGCGGGGAGCCGTTGGAAGAAAGGCGATAGGTCTTGTGTATCCGCTGGCTGATATTCGTAAAGTGTTGGGCGCCGTAGTGTCAAGGTAGTGATACCATGGAATAGGATGACTGGTTCTTTGTCCCATGCTACGGGCCCTGTACAGTCGAGATCCAAGTGTAGCAGGTTTGGAAAAGTAGACCAAGACCTGTCCATTTCTCCCCAAGCAACAGATAGCCGTCGGAGCTGTGGAAGAAGCAAAGTACCAGGAGCAGTAACAGCATGCCTTTCGGCTATGCCAGGGAATGTCAGACTCAGACTCCGCGGTGTCATGAAATCCTGGTTATCTCCAGAGCAGAACGCAAGATTCTGCAGCTGATCTGTCAACACCAGCAATAGGCCAATGCAAGCATGAAGATCGCCGTATTTGACTCTGCTAGCCCACTTCATCTGATCGATGGGCCAAGAATGTGTCGACTTCATTGCGTGTGTGACAACCTGGTCCCAGGAGTCATCATAGCCTACAGCCGATCTGTAAACTTGCTGAGGACTACGATATCCCGTTATTTGCAAAGAGCGGACCTTCTTAGCGAGATCTGGCCTTCCAACTAGGGTTATGAGGAGTTCCGGAAGAGACTGGTAATACGTCATCAGACTGATGGAAGTGTGGAGAGCTTCTTGTGCGATATCGCGGAACTGGCGTGCGGTTAGAGCTAGGTCTTTGAGATCGGGTGGCTGAAGGCGTAGCGCGATATCGAGCAGGAGCTCGTCAGGTAGGCTCTTAAGCTGAGCCATGATCGTGCTTCGAAACGGCAGTATCGATTGGGAAGTTGAGTTGATGGTGGCGACAGGTCGGAGATGGAACGGAGATCGCAGCTCAGATAGCAGGTCAAAGTTGAGTGTGAAGGAAGCAGGCGTAACTTTCTCCTTTCACTTCGTCATAAGTAAAATTGTATCAGACTTCAAGTCTGACTGTTGAATAGTCGCGCAGAAACTAAACCTTGGTATTACCCTGCCGATACCACGGTACTTTGATGAGTCATGCGATGGCATGTAGATGATGAGCCAATAACAACTCCCGCAACACAAGCAGCGCTCATGTCTCCGAAGACCAACCGGCGCCTCAGCAATGGACATTGTTACTCATTGCTTGTGACGGCAGATACGTGTCATAGTCGCACTTTCCACTTTTGGGGGAGGGCGGTTTCTAGATGTTGTGCTGAGGACTTGCCACAGAGAAAAGGCGCTGCAGCATGAAATGGGATGGCATTCACGTTGGAAGGCGATGGTAAACTTGATCTTTTCGTATTTCTTTGGCCTAGCGCGTCGGCCATAGGTATCCGAGTCTAAGCATCAGTACCCTGGAACATGTTGCCCACGCTCGTCTCAGACTTAACCGCATCCTCATGATAATGTGAACCCGCTGAGGTAACCGTAGTGTCCAACTCTTCGAGACGCCTCAAATCCATAGGCGCAGCCAAAAGCGGAATGACGTAAGGATCGAAAGTCTTCCAGTAGGGGTTGTTGAGGTGGTATTGCTGGGACTGCGGAGGAAGTCAGTACGTTACGGGATGAACAAACGGTCTTTTTTCGGATCTTGAGTGAGCGTGCATCATTCTCGGGGTTGAAGGCATGCGCCAAAACATGCTCCTCCGACATCTGCTCACACCCCAACCAACAAAAGTCCCCCTTCCATTATCATGGAGCGAACCAAAAGAAAGATAAAACTCACAGATTCCTTCAAGTACCGCTCAACGATGGTAAACTTCCTCTTATCCACCGTATCCTGCATAACGAACCAACTCAGCGTCTCCTTATCCTTGCTGTACACCTGACTCGCTTCCACAAGCTTAGCACTAAGCTTGCTGATGCTCTCCTGGTCTTCCTTTGCGAGGAGGTGAACGACGATTGTGTAGACCATTTTGGCTTCTCTTGTTCCTTTCTCGTTCGTTGTGTGCTGTGTTGATGTGGAGACTGGCGATCAAGCTTTTCGCTTCGCTTGGAAAACGATGTCGCGTATGTGCTGGGTAACAAGTGGGACAGTATGATTGAGAAAGAGAAGAAGATTTGAACGTCGCGACAAACCACAGTAGATTTTTCTGCATCGGTGATGCTGTTTTTGCGGCCTAGTGACGTATCACCGCGACGGAACCCCGCAGCTGAAAGTGGAGTTCGGCCGATCTGCATGCCTTCCTTCCCACGCTACAAGCATCACCAAGGAACGGGAAGGAGCGCGCAGCCGCAACATCCCAAAAAAGCAAGGGAAGGAGCACAATGAGTGTCTTCGTAGGCGCGGGATGTAAGGCCGACGATAAAGCGAAGCCACGTGGGGACGTGGGAACGCGGGATGCAAGCACCGCCACCAGCACACTAAGCACAGCAACCAAACATTTTTTGAACTTGAAGATCAATTACACATCTAAACAACGGGAAAGAACAAGAACGGAAGTGCCTCCCAACACCCCGCCCTGTTCTTCCTCATCTATGTAGTAACTAAACTTGATAAGCTAAAGAAGGGGGGAATTTGCGAAAAGACAACGCAGTCGCACCGTAGCAACGCTAAAGTTACACCATCATCACCATTCCCAATTCCACCCAGAAAATTGAAAAAAACACCACCCCATATGCTATGCCATGCCGTTAAAGCGAATGATAATCGAAAACATGGGTACTACTACTATGCCCTGCTGAGCATCTTGAGCACCTCCTCCTTCTCGCTCGTGGGCAGGGTGCTGAGCAAGCTCATGACACCCTTTAGGCCACCCTCGCGGTCCTTGCGCATGAGCTGTGCGATTTCGAGCGCAATACCGTCGGTCTTGAGTTGCTCGATCTTGTCGCTGACGAGGGGCCTGTTCTCCTCGTACCAGGTTGCTACGGCCATGTCGTCTTGCTCCCAGTTGGGGATGTTGGACAGGTGCTTCAACATCTCGAAGCCGCGGCTGCGGGTGAGCGGGTTGGCCATGGGGTTGTCGTGTGTGGGCGAGGCGGCAGCGGCGAACTTCTTGAGGATGTACTCCTCGTTGAGACGGCGGCGCAGACGCCAGTAGAAGAAGCGGCGGGCGTTTTGCCAGCGCAGAGCTTGTCGGATGACACCCTTGGCTTGCATGCGGCCAGAGCGGTCGTGCAGATCGGCGAACTGGAGGGCAATTTGGCCGTAGACAGGTAGAAGTTTCTTCTCGCGCTCGGTCATCTGTGCCTTGATTTCACTGAGCTCGGACTCCGGTGTTGCTTTGTCGTTCAGCTTGCGCTTAAGAGCACCGTAGGTAGGGTCGTTGCGGGCCATAGTGTCGAGTTGACGTTCCCGACGGTACTTGATACCGACGATACCTTCGGGTTCGAGCACACCACCACGCGAGTCCTCGTCGGCGTACATCTCCATGAACTGAGGGTTGATAGTAGGATCAACAACGACCCAAGATCCACCACGGAGCTCGCCGTAAGGGGGAATGTAGACGAAGATGGGCTGTTCGAACTTGACGAGTGCATCGACAATGTAAGAACCGTACTTGAGGACCTCGTTGTACATGTCGCGCTGACCACCAGAGAAACCACGCCAGTTGGCAAGAATCATCAACGGTAGTTGCTCACCGTTGTTGAAGTCCTTGATAGCCTGAGCAGTCTTGAAGGCGGAGTTGGGGTACCAGACACCACCAGCCTCGGATGTGACCTGTTCGATGGAGTCGGGGTTGGCGGGATCAGCAGGTGTGACGTTCTCGACCGAGCGTGTCTCAACACCGATGACACCGATAGGGATGCCACCGAGGCGAGCACGACCGACGACAACAGTCTTAGCCCAACCACCAAGAGTCTCAACGAAGGAACCGCGATCGAAGAGACCAGACTGGAAACCATCCTCGTCCTCCTTTCCGGCGATGAGATGCCTAACATCGTAGGCTGACTTGCCAGGTGGGTAGTAGGTGATGTCGCGGTCCCAGTTGTCGGCAGATGGCGAGATCGGGACGGGGCTGCCCTTCTTGTCGGGTACGTATGACAGCCACTGGACGATCTTGGAGACACCCTCGAAGTCATCATCGGCAGTCGAGTGTGAGACACCGTTCCTGTACATGATCTGGGTACCACCAAGCTGGAGGTTAGAGGTGTAAACTTCACGACCAAGCAGCTTGTTGATGGCCTGTGCACCGGTGAGGATGATTGGCTGTCCTTCAATCTGGATGGCACGCTGACCAAGGCGGACGAGGTAAGCACCAATACCTATGTAGCGTTAGTAAACGAATTTGGACATCGTACAGAAGATACATACCAACTGAGCGGCAAGTCACCAAAGTGATGGTGAAAATGTCCTCGTACGCCCTCGATGTCTCACCAGCGATGAGACCGGAGCCACGGAGGGACTCAACACCAAGACCATCCTCAGCACCAATGACAGTAGTGATCTTGTAGCGGTTCTCGCCATCGACCTCAACCTTCTCGCAGATGACATCATTGCGCTTGCCATCAACAAAGTGCTCGTACTTCTCAGGTGTCAGGTAGAGGTAGTCGAAACCAGCCTCGGGTTTGTCGGCGTCCTTCCATGCAACAGAGAAGTGAGGAATGAGCTCCTCAGCAAGACCGATACGAGCACCAGAGTTGGCAGAAAGGTAGATTCGCGGGATGCCAAGCTTTCGTGCAAGCTCAGAGCACTTGTGGAAGAAGTTGTCTTCCGCGGGACCGAAGGAACCGATCTTGAATGTGATGTCGTTGGCGATGATGATGAAGCGACGGCCACGGGGGTATTCAGGCGTCTTTGCGGTGACCATCCATCCGACCATACCAATGGTGTTGTGGCCAGGGTCACGGTTGACCTCAGCCAGGTTGTCAGTGTCGTCAAGCACCAACTCGTAGTACTCAAGGCACTCTCCCTTCGCTGGCTGCCTGTCACGGAGGAAGGAGTGCTTCTTGATAGCCTCGATCCAGCTGTTCTCGGTAGCCTGGCGGAACAGCTCAGGGAAGTCGTACACGTACTGAGTACCCATGAGATGAGCCTTGTACCTCTTGGGCTGCAGCGCTCCCTTGGTGGGGTAAGGAGTCGAGACGGGCTGGAGGTGAAGAGCACCAATCTTGGTGGTTCCACCAATGCTGTGGAAGAGCCACTTGCCAGCCTTCTCGGACTTGCGCTCGGCGTACATCTCAACCTGGATGACGTATCCGGAGGTGTTGGTGATGATGACACGAAGAGGGTAAGGAATGCCAGTGGCGGGGTCGGTGACAATGATGCGGATCTCAGCGCCAGTGACACGGAGACGCCAGAGTCGTCGACCGAAGCGCTCCAAGAAACCGCCAATAGCCTCCTCAACCTCCGTGGGGTTAAGAGGGAAGACGTGTGAGAAGTTGATGAAAATGTGGTTCATGTCAGCCTGCGAAGTGCCAACAATCTCCAAAGCATCCAAAATGTCAGTCATCAACCTGTCGGTCTCGGAGACCATGTACTCCGCGGTGGGGATCTCCTCGCGAAGACGGCCAGATCGGACGACAGCCCTCAAGAAGTAGCGCTTGTCGCTCTCGGCGCCCTTGCCAACAGCCTCGTAGATGTGAATGTTGCGGTTCTCGGTGAAAACGGGCTTGATGTCGAACTTGGAGAGTCTGCCAAGCTCAAGCTGGAAGGCAAGAGCAGGCTCGACGTGACGAATACTGGCATCTTCCTCGTATGTGGGTCCACGGAATGTGTAGTAGCCGGGGTAAGTTCCGTCCTTGTGACCGCAGATGAATGAGATGCGGCGGATGCGGCGGGACAGAAGCTCCTGCTTGAAGTCGTCGACAATGGGCAGAATGCGCTCGAGGATCTCCTTATCATCACT